TTCTGTTATGACAAATGCTCATTTAGATAGCCTCATGATGGTTGGAATACATCGTGATAGGTGAAGCAACCTCGACCATGACAACGTGGTTGACAGATTTCATGCAAAATTTCCAAAATATAGAATTTCACTTTAAATAATGAGGATTTGAAAATAAATTAGATGGTTACATTGCATACTCTTTGTTTCTTGCTTTATTCAAAATGTTTTGGTTTTGGAAGCTGATGTCAACATTTGAAAGCATAGCCTACATGAAGTCATATTATAGTAACTCGATGCCTATCAAATAAGTAATAAAAATCGCCATAATTCATCAAATATCCGTGGCTTCCAGGGGCCTTCGCCCCATTGACCCCCACCGGGGGCCCTAGGCGGCCCCCTGGCCCCCAGCCAAGTAAGACTAGCCCCAGCCAAGTGAGACTCGATTCGCTCCACTAGCCTCCCCCCCCCCGTCGGGCAGGTCCTGGCGCCACCCCTGGTTATGGAGAGTAATGTGTGACCAATGGTCTGCAATCAGTTGGTTGTTACCATGCGCCAGTGATGTTGGAGTACGTCAGCAAGATGAAACTATTTATGTAATGCATGAATAAAGTTTGGGGTTTGTCGGGTAGTGAAACGATTATTGTACATTTTAAGTGCTTCCTCCATGCATAAGTGTAAGCTAAATTACGGTGATTAATTAGCGCAGCCATAGAGACAATAATTATTTCGAAGTTCGCCCTCTTTCCAAGAGGGGAGGCAAATGCTTTCAATATGCAAATGTCAGATGAACACCTAGGAAGGAAGGTGCAATCACGTTCTGTTGCCTAGCAAAGGTCTGTACTATAGCGTGGGGTGTGGGGGGGGGGCTACTAGCCTACTGGTGTACTGTGTAGCGGGGGACGATGAGGCATAATAATAATAATAATAATAATAATAAGACTAGGCCTAAGTAGACAGTGCAATTATATGTGATAGACTCTTTCGAAAGAAATAAATTAAAATAAAAAAATAATAACTAAGAATAATTCAGTTGCAGACCTTGTTTAAGTATACAATGCTAACAATGCGGCTCATATAGCCCTAGCTAGGCAAGGCATCCATGTACCATGGAGGAATTAGTTTACATGTACAAAGCAGTGGCGGGAAAGTTTGCCTTACCAGGAAAAGGTGACGTAATCTAGCTTATGACGTATTCAAGCCAACTTTTTTTGTAAGTGTGACGTCACCAAAAAAATAAAAAAAATTCCTATTATAACTAAAAATTTCTTTGATACCAACTAAGGGTAGCACCATCTCCTTGCCACACAAATTACAGCTTCAACTGACGTCTCAGTCGAGAAATACGTAGCTGAAGTTTTTCTCGCAAATCTGACTACCTGCATGGTTTCCACATTCGAAGAAAGACATGGAACGTACAGAGGTTCGCTTCTAGAGGTATAGAAGCGAGGAGGCACTCCATATCATGCCCGTTTAGACACTCTTCATCTTCTTCCTCTCAGATTCCGACGTGAATTTAATCTCATATCTTTCGTAATCAAATGCTTATTTGGGAAAATTGACTGTCACTCCATCTCAGATAATGTCCAGACACACAGACAATGTAACCTTTCTACGTCAATTTTCTAGGACCATTGCTTTATTATAGAAATTAACCTGTAAATCTATTTCCTCGTGTGTGGACCAAACTCCCTGCTGATGTGAGGAACTCTATCATAGTACTGAAATCTCTTCCCAACTCTCTCCTATTTATTACATAAGATGTGTATAAGAGACAGTTTGACTGACCTTATAATATTTATTAATTATTGTATCTACATTTAACTGTAACTGAATACTTTTTGTTGCTTGTTGAAATTTATTTAGGCCTAATTAGTACGGTATACCATTAAGTTTATATGAACTAGGATTACCTGTTTTTTTTTCTGTTTTTTTTTTTTCTTTTCTTCATTAATAACTTATCTTTAATCAAATAATTTCGGTAATTTTCTTTTCACATAAAATTATATATAAGTCATTACATACTAAGTACGAGCAATTTTGATTTTTTGAATTAGGATAGGCCTATTATACTATTTATTGTATTTTTAAAAAATGTTTTTTATGTTTATATTTATTAATGGGGCAGCTGACTTTCAATGATTTATAGTAAAATTTTGCTTAAGCTGCCCCTGACCAAAATTTTGTTGTACTGCAC